TAAGGCTGAAATGGGTCCTATATGTCACACAGATTGGGTTTGGACTGCTGTGGATGGAGAAGCCATCACTCTACAGATGCACAAATACTGAGTATCTCGTTTCACAGGAAACTCATGAGTTGAGTGTTTGTCTTCCATCCTAAAAGAGCAATAAATTCCATAAATTCCTCCTCCTCCCCCAAAAAAAGAAGAAAAAGTCTTTTATATTGTTGCAGTTTGAAAAGTTGTTAAACTCAATAAAATTGAAAAGTTTTGTTCTGATCATAGGTATATAAAATAGGCTAAATCTATAACGTGCAACTTAATCAACTTAATCATTAAAAATGTGGAACGTGATTTAAAACAAACGTGAAAATGTCTTTCCTAATGCACCTCCTCTATTAGAAAGCTCCTGCACACTGATCCAAAAGCCCCATCCATCACTTCCCTGGCTGAGCAACAGAGGAAGCTCTGGGCTGGCAGGGCTTTGCTGGTTCTGCAAAAGGCCAAGACCTCTTGTAGTTATTTTATGGGGAAGGACAGCAACATGTCACATAGGCACAGAAATGTACCCAGAGCTGCACTGTTCCCGTAAGGTAAAATGATAGGAGGTGAGAAACACATACCTGTTTAACACTTGTTCAGAATTCCATTGTACAGTCTAATATTGAGATAGTACCACAGTATAAAATATGTATTTCTAGAACAAAGAACACTTTTTTTTTCCTAAAGATCATTGTTCCCTACTTGTTTTGCATGCATTTCTCATCCCAACTTGTTGCAAACGCCAGTGGAAACTTCCCTGCATCGCTTCTGCTGATCATAGCAAAGCATTTTCTTCTCAAACCAGAGCATCTGAGTACTGAAGAGGCATCCCCATTAACTCATTACCAACAGGAACAACTGATCCACCAAGATACAATACTACAACGTCACCAAGAGCATACAGTGCTCAACAGCAAAACCTGCTTGTTGGTAATGAAGGTTTGAATGCCACTAATCATGTTTTTTCCATCAGAAATGGCTAACAAGTAATGAACACGGAATGCTACACCTAAAACAACAAAAAGACCCAACAAATAACAGCTGAAGTGCTGCCTCTTCCCCCACCAGACAGACTCAGCTTTATTTGTTTTCCCTCAGTATTTGTTTAGGGAATTATGAATGGTGCTAAGCTGCTCGGTGCTACCCTTCAGCCATCATTATCAGTTATCTTTAGGGGAAATCATTTTTCTTAAAATCGTGACCCATTTGATATCTTAAAAACAGCAACATTAATTTTCATTTGTCACATAGTAGGGTATAAATTGACTAAATGTTAATGGCCTTCTTCTTGAGTAATCAGTTCTACGTGATTAACCTAAAAATTGCCAAAATGTTGTTTACTATTCATTTGTATCCGAAGAAAAAGAGATCCATGATCCATGAGTTAGAACAGGATTAATTTACTTTCTGATCTGTATTAAAACTTGCCACAATTATTCATAATCATTTTACTCAATATTTAGCCTGGCAAAACAATTTAATCCAGAGATCCTCCCAGTACAATAACGCTGCCTCAAAGCAGCACAGCTTTCTGATGCTTGCTATCAGTTTCACAGGGTAGATTTAGTTGGTGGGTTGTTTCGTTGCTTGTTTGAATGGGGTAATGCAGGCTTAACTTTTCTGGCTTTTTTCTTTATACAGAAGGTATAGTCGGTGGTCTTTACCACCATCTAGTGGATCCAGTTCCTTACAGCAAGTGACATTTTAAAAGTATTTAAGGGAGAAAAAAAGTATTCAATATATATTCAACAAAGAGATTTGGGATCAGAACACTATCCCAGATCTTAAACCACAAACAGCGACTAATGAGTGATTCTCACCAATGAAAGAGCCTGAAATATAAATTATTCTTCTTTTGAAGCACTGATGAAGCTCTCAGAAGTCCATGGATGTCTTACCAGCCATACAAGCAGTGGAGCAGCTTTTACTCCACCCCAGGTCAGCACTGCTCCTTCCCATCCCCATTATGTCCCTCTGGATCCCATTCCCAGCCATGCAGAGAGAACACAATGTGCAACAGTGATATCCTACCTTTAAAAATGACTGTGTTGCTCTGTCCTTAAACAGCAAAAATGCCTACAACTAAAATGTATCTGCAGGAAATTCTTATTTCCTTGTGGAGGGTAAATTATAACGCTGATGAATGAGAACCTTTATCCCAGCACACTAGAACCAAATCTCCCCATCCAAGGACACTTTCCAAATGGCCACTGCTTGGTGGTGGGAACAAGGGTCAGTCTACTGGCTTCCCATTGTGAAAGAATCATAGAATCATGGTATCCTTAGAGCTGGAAGAGACCTTTAAAGGTCATCTAGTCCAATTCCCCTGCAATGAACAATGATACACAGCCAGATCAGGTCATCCCTAAAACCTCCCCTAGACAGTTGGTGTATAGATGGTTGGACAACAGAACACACAGCTCCTTCCCTAGCACATAATGTGAACTACAAGCAGTCTCCTTCCAAACTGTGTAGGGGGTTATTTTAAACTTTGTCCTTTAAAAGGAAAAAAAAAAAAGGAAGGAAAGGAAGAAGAAGAGCCCCAAGCAGCTTCTGTAGTGATAGCCAATGGCTGGGCTATGTCCTTCCTGCAGGCCCTCTGATTTTGCACCTGATTAACCAGTAACTCAGGGTCGGAGCCACGCTCCTGGTGACTCAGTGCTCTGGTTGACTGCCTGACAAGCTCCACAGGCGAGAGTGCAATTTACTTGTGTGCCCCAATTAGCACTGCTAATTGGGGCACAAAATCTGTGTATATTTCTATTTTTTTTTTTTTTTTTTTTTTTTTTTCAGTTCTCAAGCACCACTCTGGGAACAGCAAGAGGGCACAGAAAGAGAGATGGGGTTGATCTGCTCCTCAAACACGTGAACAGAGTTTCAAACGAACTGTAAGAAGGCACCTACAGGACGGCAGAAGTTAAAGAACACTAAATTCTCTGGTAAAAAAAAAAGATTAAAACAGGAATGGCAACTGGGGATCTTGCAGTAATCTGGAATCTTTCTGGCAATACCAAGTTTTGTAAGTTTACCATAGAAGTACACAGCAAAGAGGAGCTTTTTATTAAGACGTGCAGGGAACTACTTAGGCGCATGTGCAATTATTTCAGCTGTGTGCCAGATACCACAGGTACTAAATAAATGCTGGGAACTCTTTTAGCATCATTTTTCTGGTATTTGCATACTGCAATAGTACTTCTGATGCTTAAGTGCCATTACCATGCATTAATATTTGTTATACATTCACTGTTGTAAGTTAATTGTTTGTGTAAATATAGGCAAGAAAGAATGTGTACACTGTTGTACACACAAAATTTAGCAGCTTTAGGACCTAGAGACACTCAGTGGGTCATTTGGGTGGTTGATGCTCCAAAACGAACCCCAGATTTGAATATACACACCAATTCAAACAGAGTGTGTAAAATAAATAGCCTAGAAAACGAGAAGCTTTTTGCTATTTTATTACGCCATTTGATAACACTGTAAAAGAATTACTGTACATTTCTCCAGCTAAAAAAAAATATACTCCATTTCAGAAGTGCAGGCTGATTTTATTTTGATCTATTATAATAATAAAAGAACAATTATCTCTTTCCTAGAAGCCTTGAGCCTGAATCACTCCCCATGCTTAATTCAGGATTCTGAGGAAACTCGAGGTGTTAAGAAGGGCCATCCCACAGGGCAGGCACAAGGGACATCAACCAACCAGGACTTCAGCAATAGAAACCCAGGGAACTTTACCACTGCAGGCAGCAGTGGGACATCACAGCAACAGCACCAAGCCTTCTTGGCTTACTCCACTTGTTTGGAGCATGTACTGAACTTGAACTGATCCTTACTTTGCCAACCACTGATGCTCACATGTGCAAAGATGTGTCTTTGCAATGGATTCAGAAATGAGAGCTACATTGCACATCTCCTTTCTGAGCCAAATGAACTGTCTGTAGCAGGAGCTAAACAGGAGCAATGATCTGCCCCTTCAGTCACTCACACAGGTATACCCACATACTTTAAGAATAAATATAGGCAAAATCAAAAGCAAAGTTAAAGAGAAGCATTCCCACTTGTGTAACTGCTTTAGTCTCAGCAAATATTTATAGCTTACTCTGAATCACTTACACCCTAAAAACTGGAGAACTGTGACACTGACATCAGCACCCTTTGTCACCCACACATTTCACATTCACATTTGCATAAGAAAGCTTTTATTTGGCCCAGGTGAATTGTATCCATATTGTTTCCTATAAAATAATTTCTTCATCCAGCATTCCCTGGATAAAACTACACAAAAACTGAAATTTCAGCAAGGACCCTGATAGAATGAGAGCATTAGGACAACTTTTAAAGGTAATTCAAGGGATAAAAGCCCCCACAGCCACACTATGTCTCCTACTATGCAGATGGAGAGGTTAATTGTATGGGCATAATATCCTGAAATAAATTTATGTCAAGAACAATGATTTCAGTAAAACAATTTCTCAACCATTCCTATTTTTCCAAGGTAAGATGAAGGAGCATAAGGGGAAGGAGTCTGATAAGAAGGAAAACCCGAAGAGGAAGGAACAGACGGGAATTGCATGTAGCTGGGAAAGGAAAACTTTGCAACAGTAATTAATATGGAAATAATCTTCACCCACTCTGCAGAAAGCATGACATATGTTAAGGTCATTCCAACTCAGAAAATCTTTTCTAAGCTGAGTCCTTAAAGGAGGACGATTTAAATTAATGGGTACAAGCAGAGGCCGAAGGAGAAGGCAGGAGATTTCCCCAAGCACACCCTGACCCAACAGCATCCTCTCTAGGACAGCAGAACTGCTGCTCCTTGAAAACCGAGCTGTCAACACAGAGGTGCAGAGGGAACTGTAAAATCAGTAATTTCTTCTCACAGTATAGTTAGCAAGGGCACAGAGGAGTTACAGCAATTAAAGAGCACCATTATAGAAGGCTGGCAATGAGAGGCTCCAGCCCCACAAACCCACCTGGCATGCACATGTCCGTCTGTCCTCCTGGTGGTTCACAAGCAGCCACATTTCCTCACTGGCAATGACAAACTCTGTCTGCCCGCATCCCCAGGGTGGAACAGGATTTCCAATGCAAGTCACACCTGCAAAAATATATTCAACATGACAAAGCTAATCAATGACAATATGGCGGAGGCAGTTGAAGAGCACTTCCACAGAGATCAGCCTCAGGTTCGTACAGAACTCTGGGCAGCAAATAATTCATCACCCCTTTATTAAATAATTAGATATTAACAGAGGACCGCTGATTAGACTGCGCTGATATCATAGTGTGTATTTTCTCTCTTGACTTTGTCACCGAGGTCACCATACAACTCAACGCCGAGGAAGAGAGAGGGAGACAGTGTATGGGCATGGCTGTATAAAGAAGCCTCTCATTAACCCCACTGACCCCCCATAATTTCATATGTCAGCAGCTAATCAAGGACTCACTGACATCATCAAGGGATAGGGAGAAAAGATCTCCCAAGGGACCGATCACTTCTCACAGGAGAAAGTCTACACTTCCACCGGAAGGTTATGCGTTTTTTCAAATAAATAAAGTGTTCTTGCATTATTTTTAATTAATGTTGAAATATATTTTTCTACTGTTGGAGTCAATGATTTATTTTAAGCATGATGGAGATGGCAGTTAAAGGAGTCAGCCCTTGGTAGCCCGATTTGTCCTACTGCTGTACTTTGTCACTTAAGAAACATAATCAAAATCACCTTCTTACTGACTTCTAGTCTACAGTGCTTCTAACATCACTGGTTTCCCAGCTAGAAGAGGAAATAAAAGGCACACTGCACTCCTGCTACAGAGTTGGATTTTAATCATTTTGTATTTACTTAATACTTTTATCCCAACAGATTTGGCAAACCCAATCAACAGAGCAGTTAATTCATCTGTGGCACACATAAAGCCACATCCTCTATTAACACTGCGCTGTGCTACTGAGAGGTCATCAGGACACGGGGTCTGCAAAGCAGATCTGTGGACACTGGCCAGGGGCTGTCAGATTTCAACAGGACCTCAATTTCAACAGACCTCAATTTCAACAGGATACTATGGAATCTGCACAGATGATAGATGGCCAAACATAGCCCATGTAATCCAAAGTACTTCATAAAGCCATGTGCTTCCTCACCTCCTGCCCAAGTGCATGGTACGGGGAGCATCGCTTTGCAGGGACATATATTTTATAGTTGAAAGTAGGCAGCTGATCTGTGTAGTCTTTCTGAGGTGCATTCCACAGGCAGAAATTTAACAAAAACTATCCATTTTTTAAGACAAATGCAATTCAGCTTCCCACTGCACTGATGGCATACCTCAGCCCCTTCCTGGGACAACGCAGGATTCACATCATCATTTGTTAAACAGCATCCTCAAGGCTTGCATGTAGCACATTATGCTGCCACGAGGCAGATACTCCAACCAAAAATAATAAAAAATAGATCCTCTGGTCACCATTACTCAATGGACCGATGGACTTCCTGCAGCTGGACCTGATTTAGCAGGAAGCTGAATGCCCTTAGGTGACCATGAGTGAACTATATGCACAGTCTTTTAGTCTTTATCAATATCTATATGGCATTCTTTTATAAACACGGATACTCATCTAACATTCAGTGGTGGGCATCCCATATGACCTTTCTTTCAGATATGGAAAGAACTTCCCTATCCCACTAAGACACTGTGTATATATAACTTAGGTATAACTAATAAGTCACCATCAATAATCTAAACACAAGCTTCCTGAATAAACAGGTCAGCTCAAATGTATAAAGATGCCTTATATCCAGAAAGGGTACACAGATGGATGCCCCTCAAGTAACCATGTCTCCATTCAGCTTTATGAATGGAATTTTGTAGAAGGTTATGAGGAAAGGCGGTTTTTATGCACTGAATTTTACACAGATCTTACTTCATAGTACTTACTTAATGGTTTATATATTATTAATATAATTATATTATTAATAGTATATATATATATCTGCAGTAAATGATATCTAAATCCCAAAGAATTAGGTAGCTTTTAAAAACATCCTCAGGCGATCAAAAAACAGTAATATGAAACAAGTTCACTTGCATTCAAAAAAATTATCAGGAAGATCAGGAAGAGTAGGACTGGAAAATATTCTAATCTCTTTTTTTATAGAAGATTGGTTTTTCGTGTTTCTTTTTCCCGTTTTCCTGGCTGTAATTATCTGTATCCCTAAAACTCTACTTCTGCTTAGCATCTCTTTTCTTCCTAGGACTGACTAATATGCACCTGTGGATCTCACAAAACAGTCCTAATCCATAGCTGCAAATGTTGGAACCATAGAGTTAGTTACTTCAGGTTATCTTCATTCCATTCCTTCTGTTTTGTTGAATACAAATATTTTAATCACAAGGGAATCGTACATAATAAGCTATGTTCTACTTCAAATTGTGACCATATGTATTATAACACAAAGCAATTAATAGCAGCGCATCCTGAAAAATGCCATACTGATCAGCTGCCTGCCAATACATTATGAACACACCAAAGTCAAAGATGAAATTTTATTCACCATGTAATGAGAATACTTTCTGTTTACGTTGGCAAGGAAGCTTATTCCTTCCCCAGCTTCTGCGCAGTGGATCATCGCTAATTTTGGCCACACTCCTAGGTATGACTTTCACAGTTGATAGAGTATCCAGTTAGGACCTTTTGCTTGGTCTGTGGAGTAAAAGAGCTTGATAGGATGGCCTAAGCATAGGAATCCCATGGCACTGCTGCAGGAGCTGCCCAAGGGACATGCACAGATCTGCATGCTCCTGGCATGGCAGCTGGGGGCCAGGTAAACTAAGCAAGGGCAACTGAAATGGTAATGAAATCAAGCCCTAAATGCGAGAATTCTGGATGAGTATTTTTCTAAACAAGAAATGGAACAATTGCTGAAAATAAGAAAAAAACACTGAATGATCAAACTTGGAGAAAACTCGTGAGTGTTATACATGACAATATTTGAAGAGTAAGAGCTCACAAAATTTCCCCAAGGTTGATGTGGCTACTTAGACCAGTAAGAGCTGCAGAAAGTTATAGTACTTAAGGCCTCTTCATTTTCAGTTTTGCCTATGTTCAAAAATCAGAATTAGAACAAAACAAAAATAAATACTGTATTGTTTTAAAATGAAATTCAGATATTTTTTTTTCTGAGTATTGTTTATAACTACAGTGAGACACAATTCCCGTTTTTTCTTTAACTCATATCTAACACTCCTACAAGTTCCACTTACAAAGATAAATCTGAACCAGTTTCTACGTTCATTAAATAGCACGTAATTAAGAATAAGGGTTGTTAAACCCATGACCAAATAAGTCCACATTCTCCCTGTGGCCCAAGTATCATCTTCAGGTGTACCACCTAACTAACAACTAAATGATCACATCCCTAAAACAAGATCTATACCAAAATGGATACAGTCAATAAAGAGAACAAAATCCAATTCCAAAGCAAAAAAAACCCCACATTTTCTGAGAGCCATCGCTTTAATGGGTTCATGAGATTTATAGAACGAGCTTATTTGCCATATGCAAGCCAGTTTTCCATTCTCTTGGGGTTACCATGGTGTAGGAAGTTCAGAAAATCTATATATAAATGGGCAATTTTTAGCATATGTAGAAGGCACATCTGATAACCTCATCACGGCCCGCAACCTTGATATACAGTTTGTTCTACTTAGGGTACAAGATAATTTCACACCTAAAAATAGGTATTTCAAGGTACTAAAGGTTAAATATCTGTTCTCCATTCCCAGCAAATCAGAACTTGCAAAAATGATTTTTTTTTTGCTGTTATTGCTATCTTAGCACTGTGAAGAGGATTCAGTAAACCTAATTTTGATTTTCTTCAGGAATATACAGAAATGCACATAAATTGTTTATTTCAAGATACTGTGTGCTTTGTTTGGCTTTAAAATACATCACTAGAAGCAAAGCCTGGGCTTCAATAACTTCTGAATGTCAGCACATCTCTGATTTCTAAAATGTGTGTTTTACTCAGGGATATTGTGAGTGAGGAGCCTGTTCCAGCTCCACGATAATGCCAGCATTAATTTTCACTTATAATTGTTTCCTCCTTAAACAGCCCCGCAGAGAGAGACTTGCATCCCTTCATTACACATAACTTATCATGGCATTAAATTTGCCTAAATTGTACTCCAGTGCTACCATACTGCTGACCCTTAAGTCTGTAAACAAATACATTTGTTCTCTATATATTTATGTTTTGTCTTCTAAATTGTGAGAAAATGAGCCTGGAATCTTCATATTGTAATTGTATCATCAAAGCCTGTTGAGAATACGATAAAGTAACCAGAAGTTAAATTATCAATAAGAGTCATTTATTTTGCATTTTTATTTTAAAGAATACTTATGAGAATTGTGATAAATTAGCAGTGACAAACTACTTCTTGCAGGCTGATTTTGTGTGGAGAGTTTAATTAAACATTGCAGCTGTTTATCTCTATGGTGATTAAATTTTCATATGTAAATTACATGTATTAAGATCAAGATACTTATGTAAATGTCACTTGCCTTAATGTTTTGTGTTACTGTTATTAACATCTAACCATCAGCTTGTAATCTTCTTGTATTGCATTACGCTGGAATGCTCTACACGACTAAAATAAGTAGATTTATATCTTAATAACAAACAAGTTTTTAAAAAGAACATCTTACTATGTAATTGAGATGGAGATAAAAAAAAAAATAAAAAATAAACTGCCAAGTGTGAGCTGCTGCAAATTTCAGAGCCTCGTCGGTGAGAGCCGCATTCATTCAATGCTCCCATCCATCACCAAATTTGGATACCAGAAATCTATGTGTCTACTTAGAATAACGCTTCCCTCTACCTCATAGCAAGCGAGGGCATTGTGTTCTTGGTTGCTGTTGTCAGTGGCACATAAAAAAGACAGCACTATTATAGCTCTGATAAACAAAGAAATAATAAGCAGATTGCTATTCACAGCAGAAAAAAGTGCTCCTGATC